CGTTTGATTGATAGCGAGCCCTTCACAGCCACCAGCCACCATCAATCAGCTGATTCCCGATCGTCTGCCGGTAGCTTACTCCCCTCTCGATTCTCTGCACTACGCGCACTTTAGACTAGCCCGACTTAGCTTAAAGCACACCCCGAATCTCACTCACTGAAACGACATGGACTAGTCCACCCCACCATAGTTATTGGCGGGTTATTTAAATGTTCGGGTGTTTGAAATCGGTACAATGGGTAATTTGTTATAAATATTGCAGGTAATATAATTAAAAAAATATGATGTAATGTAAATAAATATATCTATAAGCTTTTAATTTAAATAAACCTAAATATATACATATTATTTACTTCTGTCTACTAGTTCATCGTAAATTGATAATATGCGTTTAAGGTGACTTATATTTAAACGTAGAATAATATAGGTATATTAACTAGTATCCACAAACAAAAGCGTTTAATTTATCTGTTAAAAAAACGTTATGTATAAAAATGGAAGATGGTAAACGTTAAAAAAATCAACCAAGACGAAATTTAAACGGGAGTTATAAAAGAAGAACACATATTGTAATATTATGTAAATTTATACGAATTTAATTTAAATAATCCTAAACGTATATTTAGACCCACTGTATATAAATAGTTCATCGCAAACTAAAAGTAGTCGTATAGTGTTAACTACATTTAAACGTAGAAAAATTTACAATTATATACCATAGGATGTATACAAGAAACGTATAATATATCTTTTAAAATACGGCATGTATAATAATCGTAAACTGTAAACGTATACGGAATCAATCAATACCAAAATTAAACGAGTATTACCTATAAAATACGTTAGTTATACTAATGTGTGCTGCCTGGGAAAGCAGTAAAAATATAATAATTAAGGTTAACGTTTTGTTTCTTTAATTTGCTTATTAAATTCATTATTGCAACAAGTTTTTATTCTGTTGATAAGCTGGGATATTAGCTGTCCGAGACCTCTCAGCGACGCTTTAATAACTTGCAGGACTTTGATTGGCAGAAAAAAAGGTTATTAGAAATGTCCCAGCGATAACCAGGAGGTTTTAAGCAAGTTAACAGGCAGGTCCTATATCTCCCTGGAAGATGAACAATGAACTTACCTTCCCTCACCTCACAGGTATCGATAACAACCATATCACAACGATTATTACTGAGAGCTGTTTGTATCGAAAGTAGATTGTTTTTAAATCATGGTAATCCATGCATCACAGCGTTAGTACAATACTGTGGTATTGGCTCTTATTATTAACAAAATTGAGTCAATTCGACTAATGTGGTTAATTAATGAAATGTATTTATTCATTATTTACATATTACAAAAAATTGAAGAGCTATTTGGAGTGCCCCAGTGATTTTATTTTTTAGCAATGTGTTTTATTGCTTTTCTTAAAAATATACGGTGGCGCGGTGACATACTCGTATTTTAATAAATAATTTTTTATGTTGGAAAAACTTGCACTCTGGAAATTATTTGATTCAATATTTGTTTTTGAAATACATAAACAAATAATAATATGGTGAATCCATTAAATCAAAAATATAAACAACAACATTGTTTTTACACAATATTTGTTTATTTATAGTACACAAAATTTTAATTAACAAATATCACGTATCTGCTATTTTTACAGGAAAACTCAAAGTATCGCTAAATAATTTATTCATATTTTTATTTAGATAGCCACATCGGCAAATGATGTTGGAAATAACACCAGCATAATTTTAAATGACAGCTTAATATGATTCAGCAATAAAATCTAAGATTATAGCCCTTAACGATTTTGAACTTTAAGACATATAGACTAAATTGGCATCGTTGTTTGCATGCTATATGAAACATGGTTCAGAGAAGTTCTCTATTATTACACAAGTGTCTGTAAAAGGTCTTTACAAAAACATACCACATATTCCTTAGACCAAAATAAGTCGATTTAAGTAAAATTACCTTAGTACAAAGTTGCTTTGTTTGAGCTCCAGAGGGCCTTGAAGTTACAATTTTTAAATCGTTTTTCCCATATAAATTTAAAACGGCATATGCGATTTTGCTGAAATTTGGTATGTTGGTAGAGTTTTATGTGGCAAAAAAAAATGGTATTAAAATTTTGTCCGATAATAATACATAGGCGTAGAACTTGATTTTTTAAATAATTGCACCTTTAAAAATTCTACGCCAATGGAAAAAAAGGAGTTTGAGTATGAAATTTAGATTGCGCAACTCATTTACTTTAAAAAAGGTACTCTTGATAAGACTCGATTACTCTCATGGTTTTGACGAAATTTGCATTTTAGTAATTTTAGAACATAAACAATAATTACAAACTTTGTCAAAACCATGAGAGTAAATCGAGTGTTATCAAGGGTACTTTTTTGTAGTTAATGAGTACCTAATCCAAATTTCATACTCAAACCCCTTTTCTGCCATTGGCGTAGAATTTTTAAAGGTGCAAATATTTAAAAAATCAAGTTGCCTATATATTATTATCGGACAAAATTTTATACGATGAAAAACATAAAAATGTACTTTTTTCATATCTTCTTCAACACCTCTAATCGAGACTTTTAACAAAAATACTCGATTCTTGCCATGTACGATTTTTTGAGGAATATTAATTATTTGCCTACAATACGTATACAAAAACATTTATTGTTGGTTTCCATAGTTTCATCTAAATAAAAATATTGTCAAGTTTTAACACCTAATCTCTTGTTAACGATTGAAAGTGTTCTATCTGACTCAATAATTAAAAAAACAAATGCGTGGTTTATTAATATGGCTGTACAATATACCAGTGCAGAATATACCGATATGTTACTGACATTGGGATTTTGTTAAGGAAATGCTCGAAAGAGTGTCAGGGTGTACTCTGAAAGGTTTCCAAATCGTCGTGTACCTAGCCACCCAACTTTTGCTGCTGTTGAGAGACGTCTTCGGGAGACCCGTTTCTTTGCTCCCAACACTATTGATAATGGAAGAGAACGTTTTGTAAGGATTCCTGAAGTTAAAGAAGACATTTTAGAACATGTTGAAGAAGATCCAGAATTAAGCACCAGACGAATTGGAAGGGAACTAGGAGTAAGTAAGGATGTCGTTCATAAAGTGCTTGGAGAACAATTGCTATATCCATACCATAAGAAGCCAATACAAGAATTATTTTTGTCGATTTGTTAATATGCAAAGAGAAAGAGATCCAAACTTTGTCAAGAAGGTTCTCTTTACCGATGAAGCGGGTATTACAAGAAGAGGTATAACTAATACCCATAATGAACATGTTTATGCCGTTGAAAATCCGCATGCAACAAAGGTACACCATTTTCAGCACGAATTTAAAATTAATGTGTGGGCTGGAATAATTGGCAATTTCATTGTTGGTTCTGTCATACTTCCACGAAGATTAACTAGAGAAAATTATTTGGATTTTCTACAAAATACGTTGCCAGAATTGTTAGAAGATTTACCTCTCCAACTTTGGAGAGATATGTGGTTTATGCAAGATGGAGCTCCACCACATTTTTCTTTAAACGTTAGAAACCACTTGAATGAACAATATCCACACAAATGGATAGGCAGAGGTAATGACGCACCTGTAAACTGGCCACCACGTTCCCCAGACCTAACACCGATGGATTACTTTTATGGGGACATCTGAAATCCACAGTTCACAGGGAACCTGTAGAAAATGAGGAACAACTCTGGCAACGTATTCAAGATGCAATAAACAATCTTAGAGGTGATGAAGAAGTTATTGAAAGGATACATCTTAATTTTCTTCGACGTATAAATCTTTGTATGTGTGAAATTGGTGAATATTTTGAACAATTTTTATAAAATCTCTATTTTGATTATGTTGTAAATAAATATTTTTGTGAAACCTATATACTTTAAATTATTAAAACAGAAATTTAGCGAAAACCATGAGAGTAATCGAGTCTTATGAAGAGTACCTTTTTTAAAGTAAATGAGTTGCGCAATCTAAATTTCATACTCAAACTCCTTTTCTTCCATTGGCGTAGAATTTTTAAAGGTGCAATTATTTAAAAAATCAAGTTCTACGCCTATGGATTATTATCAGACAAAATTTTAATACAATTTTTTTGCCACATAAAACTCTACCAATATACCACATTTCAGCAAAATCGCATATGCCGTTTTAAATTTATATGGAAAAAACGATTTAAAAATTGTAAATTCAAGGCCCTCTGGAGTTCAAACGAAGCAACTTTGTACTAAGGTAATTTTACTTAAATCGACTTATTTTGGTCTCAGGAATATGTGGTATGTTTTTGTAAAGACCTTTTGTATAATAACACTACAAAAAAATCCCGAAATAAATAAAAAATATTGAAATGACCGTAGTGTATTTATCATAGTATGTTGCTATTTAATCCTTCTATTTCGGATAACACTTAGTTAGTAGTATTTATAAATGTATTTGTTGGGATCGATTATCCCCCTTCTTTGATCTTGTTACAATTTATTATGGATCCTGGCAATGTTTGTTCGTGTAAATATAGGTAAACATATACTGAATTCTGGTAGTTTTGAGATAGGAATCAAACCAAAATTCGCAACCCCTCAGGTGTGTTTAAAAATAAATTACGCACTTACTTCCCAAGGGATAGCCCCTTATCTGAAATATCGTATAACAGACCGGTCCTTCAGTCGTAGAAGGGAGTGGTTAACTTGTTAATTGTACCCTTACCTGACATATACAATTGCTACATAAATTGCTCACTGATAAATTCCGTATTCCTATCACAACAGCTGTCTTATTCTATAAATTTAACCATTGCATTATATTTGGTGAAATATTATTTTATTAGAATTCCGAGTGTTAAAAAGATATGTTTCTAAAGTGGGCCATGAATGACAAAGACAGAGATACGAGTCACGTCTGAATTAAATCCAAACTGTCATTTAAAAAAGAAGAATAACGTGAGTTATTTCTTATATAATATTTATTTTTGCAGGTATCATATAGTAGTAATAATGTCATATATGGTATATGGGCTCATAATATGTGGATTGATGGTACTGGAGGATATGCAAAAATTGCAAATGGTGGAATAGGTGAAAAATCTGCAGTCGTTTACTTCAAATCTCAATTTAACAGAGGAATGTCATTCAGATTGAGAATATATGCTTCTTCTCAACGTAAAGGTTTCCTACACAAAATGGATGAGTCACATAATTCAAATCAAGCAAACGACTCAATTGGTGTTCAACCACTTTAAGGAGTTTCTGATTTTATTATCAGGATTAATATATTATTTTTAGGTTATAAATATAGAGAAAACTTCAACCTAGTGCTACTAAAATGGTTAATAGCGTTGTTTTATGTATACAAATAATAGTTTGTTTTTTGTTATAAATATATTTATTTTTTAACAACACGCAGATTGGTTAACCTCTTTCATATGTGAAATGTTTGCTTTTTTGTCAAATTCCATGTTTTCTTTTAGTTTTGCTCATTTTTCTCGATATGTTTGTATTCCTTTCTTTTCATTATATTTATATTTTATTTTTTGAACCATTATTTCTATTTGGTTCTAAGTAAGTTTCACTCTGAAATTTTCCTCTTCTGGTTATAAAGTGCTATAAGTCTTAGTACTGTTTTATATATTTATAATCGAAATTTCTTTGTCTTGTTCTTAGTTCGTTCTGCCTACAGGATGTTCTAACCAAAATTGATAATTCTTTGAAAAATTTTAAAAATATTCTTTTATTTATAGCCCAAACTTACAAGGCGTTATACACTTCCAGTTTTCTGTAGAAAATAAGCAAAGTTGTAGGAGTACGCTGTACTATAAAAACAAAATTTAAAAAAAACTAGGTGAACTTTTAATTTAAAAGTTGTTAGAAGAAACTAGTATCTAGTTTTAAGACTACTTCATTTGATATTATCAATGATTTCTATTTAAATGTTTCAGTTTGACTGATATTCTAGTGTATTATATTTAAAATTGTTTGAAATTAACAGGTTTTTTAATTCATCTATCTATTATGAAGACAGTTTTTTATATAATTCATTCATAATTTAAGGAAACAAATGTTCGAACAACTAAATTATTAACTAACTGTATTATTATGTATTTAAATAATTACCAATGTTATCTCAATATCAGATTTCAGTCTTTAAAAAGATTACATTATCCATGGATAAATTGAACCAATGATATAATAATTATTGTATATTGTGATGATAAATTTAAAATACAAATTAAAGTATTGAAACTTCGGGACTAAAGAAGAAAAAAAGTTCAACAAAAATAAACTTCTTGGTTTTTCAATGATAATAGTTACATGCTACTTGCAACAATACTTGATGGAACTTTAATATTATGCACAATTGAGAATAAGTAGTGAGAAATATACAGGGTGAATTATAAGTTCATACTTTAGACAGAAACTCAAAAATAAGAAACTGACATTAATTTGTTCCAAAATGTACCCAATGTGAAACTGTCTAACTTAAATAATGTGTTAAAAGTGGCCTCCATTTACTTCAATACAAGATGCCATAAATCACCCGTATCCCTAGCCTGTTGAGCCATATTAATGAATGTTCTGGGACATTGAAAAGCGTTTACACCAATGCAGCAGGTTCATTTTAAAGACACTCACTTTAAAAAAGGAATAATCCATAAGTTCATTGTTGTCATAATTTATCTTACTAAACAATTTAAATTCACTACTTTAGATACGCTGCTGAAATCACACGCGACTGAAATTACACGCGACTCTCTCTAATTTTTGAGTTTTTTAAAGAAAGTTATTTGAAAAGATGTTCATTTAAATGACTTCTATACATAGTAAAGAAACTTAGGATTTATCATGTATATTTAAACCCAAAATTTGAAGAATAATATTGCACAAAAGCATCATTTAACTACCATTTGAACATTTTGGGAGTTTATTTTTAGTGATTTTGATGGTAGTTATTAACAAAACCTAATAAAATTAATTTTAAATAAAGAATAAATAATTTTTTCATATTTTTAGTAATATTTTAATTGTTATTATAATTTATTCTATTAAATTGTCGTATAAGGTAAATGGTTTATAAATGCAAATTACTAAGACTTTGTTAAAACTTTTATAGGTAGATAATATAACATAACCCAGATTTATTGTCTTTTATTTTTTGTGTTAATCCCAAATAATTTCATTATATTATTATGTTGGTAACGACAATAAGAATAGAATTTTTTTTCAAAAAAAATGTTTTTTTGTATTTTCTCTAAACATGTTTACTATTTATTGTTTTATAATAATATTTAAATTGGTAAATATTTTATTAATATTGTTACCCTATTAGTGTTTCACTCAACGTCTTGTGATGTTGTAGCCGAATAGCCTGCTGCATTTCTACATCCTGCAGACCATCAATGAATGCCTGTATATGTTAATTTGTTCTAAGAAATCTTTGGGCGTCTGTAGTTGGGCCAGATGCAACAATCTTTTTATATTGTCTTAGAATTCTTGTAGACTCTCATTGTGTTTCTGACTACGAACTTTTAGTTAGCTTTAAAATACCTGTCTAAAATGCTGTTGGCCATACCTTGTTCCCAAAGTTTGCACGAGCGATGAATAACTGGGTTCCTCTTGGGGAAGTAACTGTAAAACAGTTGCTGCCTTCCCGCGCAGTGACACTTATCAATGAAGCCACTATCTCTTTTTCGACCCTGTCATTGGCTCTAGCTGCTGCTTCAAAAATAAATACGTTTCCCATATCATCTGGCCGTCAAACGTGGGTGGTTTTAGGGTCTTGCTAATAAGGTTTTGTGTTACTGGGGTTTGAATCTGGCTTGGTTTGACTATAGATGAAGACGAGGTAGTGCTTTCAGCTTTAATGTTGCTTAACGAATCCTGGCTACGAATATTTTTTTCTAATTTGCCTCTCTTACTCTACTCTAGCCTTTTTTTTAAGTTCTCTTGCTGTTGTTCTAAATTGGTTTTCAAATATTTTTTTTTGCTCTAAATTAAAATTTTTAATTTATGTGCTGCTGTAAAAGATCTAATCTAATATTAAGCTGACCAACCTCTTGCTTAAAGGTTTCCTGGATTTGTAGCAAAACATTCATAATTTTTGCAGCTTCTTTTTTACGCCTTTCCTCCTTCTCCTCCTCTTCGTCCTTCCTACGCTTTCCCTTTTTGTTCTTTTTTTCTTCCTACGCTGTTCCTTTTCCTGCTGTTCTTCCTTCCTTTGCCTTTCCTTTTACTGCTGTTCTTTCTTCCTACGCCGTTCCTTTTACTCCTCTTCTTCCTTCGTACGCCTACCCTTTTCCTTCTTTCACTTTTCTTTTTCCTCTTTTTGTTTTTTCTCTCCTCTACTATTTTCAAAACCCATGCAGGTGGCCCTGACGTATCCATATCCGTTTCATGCGCAGTGGATATAATATTTACTATGAATAGAATGCTTAGGCAACTTTTATTTTATATCCCACCGCTGTCACCAATGTTACAAAGGTTTTGGTAACTCAGTTTATTTCAACTCAACTATAAAACTTGTTAATTTATAAAAAAAATTATTGAACATATTATATCTAATTCAACTTGAAAATCAAAGGAATCAAAGGTATTAGAGACCAGAGTGAGTAACAGTTACACTGACTAGCCCAATTTCACCGTGTGGGATTTAAATCGCGTCAGAACCTTTTCTGGTGAATAAAAGTACAAAATCCTTCGATGGATCGAACTCTGATACTTACCTCACAAATCCAATTTAGTATAATAATTCTCAAATCAGATATGTGCTCATTCAGCGACACTAAATAAAAGAGACTGTGTAGACTAACCTTTCTAGGTCCAGGGTTTTTTACTGGACGACACTCCTATATCTTTTAAATAAGGAAATAAAAAAGGTTGAAGAAAATTCTGATGTTCTCCCAAACAGATTTTACTAGACAAATTCCTCTCTGCCTTCTCTGGCACATTTAATGCAGTTTCTCTCTTGGTTTTGTTTCCATTGTTCGAACAATCGGAGCCAGGTTATCTAGGCTAGTCTACAAAAACATATGGTTTACAACAGGTTTAACACCTTAACGACGACGTGCTACCTATAGTTTTCATTTTTCTCTGGGACCGCGTGTTAACTTTAGATAGCATGCATGATATTGATATTTTCACTGCGGGTTCAGCGTAGGGCACACCAAAAAAATTGAGATGTCATTTATCTCGTGATGTGATTTTTCAGTAGCTGTATAGTTACTAATCTATATGTACTTCAAATATAGAAAAATATTTAGAAAAAATACTTTATTTCATAATAATCACAATAATCTTGTTTGCAAACTCCACATTCATACTTTGATCTCGCACATTACTGAGCTGCAATCCGTTCATGCAGAGTTTTGGTTCTAATATAGCAAATGATTTATCTAATGGCTTTTTTCTGTAGATCTCAAACAGTGTTCTTTTTTTTTCTGGTCATCAAATTGGCTCAATGGCGACTAAAGCTATGGCTAAAAGTTCTTTGAACTTCATGATCAATATTTTATTTTGTATAAAATCTTTCTATTATACTATGAAAGCATTTGCTATTGCTGAACCACACCTGATTTCGGTTGTTAGTTTTATATACTATTTAGTTCCTCTTCTTAGACACGTAGGGTTTTCATTTAATGCGACATGTCAATGTAGGCTTTAGATTTTATATAGTAATGATGACTTTGGGTTTTTCTACTTTGTTTGTTCTTGATCTTTCCCATTTGGTGAATGTAATATTGTGGTCAAGATAATGAATTGTCTGCAGTTAGCATGCGGTCCTAGTATTTGAAATTAAGAGCTAGGACCACGTGTTATCCAGATATGGCACGCCCATAAACAATATTAGGAATTAAAGAAAAATATTGCAGATATCATGAAACAATGTTTTAGTAAGTTTCTAACTTGTATTTCAAATAAAAAGTTGCCGGTCCGTGTAGACAGATTTATAAACATATAAAAGGTCAATATCACAGGTTACCCAAGTACAATATATTAAAATAAAATTATTATAGATTCTTAACTACAACTAAAATAAAAAAAAGGTCCACAAGTTAACTCACCCTATGATATAAAATGAACAAATTATCAATGATTATTGAAAGAACAATATTGGGTAACAAATAAACTAATTAAAGTTTCAAAACCTGTCTAGGAGAAAAAGTTGTAACCAAAGTAATAAAGTAAACTATAACTATGAAACTATACTCATTTGAGCATCAATATTAAAATAATAATGTAAAAAAAAACCGGTTCACTTAACACACGCTCACGATTCACCAGCGCTCCACACTGGACGAGCCAACGAGCCCACAGCCATCACTTAAGAAGGAAATTAACTGTTTCACCTTACCATCAACAACGATACTCAAAGATGGTGGGAAAGAGGGATGACCCAACCTCTTGGCCAGCAAACTACAAACCTCGGGCTCCCTTATAGAAAATATTATTGAGGTCAAGACTCCAACAGAATTGACATCCAGGATAGGTAATACCAATCCTAGGGTTTGAATAACTCGTACAATAACACTTCCGGGCGAAGGCACCATGAGGTGAATTGACATCGTTAAGTAAGTAACGAGTTTTATATCCCCATCTTGGGTAAATCGTGAATACACTATTTACAAAGCTCTACAAACACTTTAATTCACGAATTGCATATAGCCAAAATCAGACAAATCCGGGACGTCCCGATGATACTAGATTTACTTTTTCACTTAATTTCGGCCACGTTATTACCAACAACGTTACAACCTTCTTCGTCCAAAAACCACGCCAGAAGGGCTCAGTCAGAAAACTTTTTCCACTTCCCCTCCAGAATGTTTCAACTCTTCACTAATTATATTGAAAGGCCCTTGAATACCCATAGGTATGGAGACACTCCACTTATAAAATTTACAACAGCCAAACATTATTTCCTTTGCCCCAAACTATTATATACACCCCACAAGATTTATCGCATCACTATTAGTTTTCAAAAATTTGGAGTTTCTTCTGAACCGTTTGATCGATTTGGATATTCTTTTTTTGGAAGATAAGTTGATTCTTCAGGAATAGTAATCTCTTTGATTCTTTAAATAAAATTTAATTTTTGAGCGTATACCGGGTGTTTCAATAATATAGGTTTTGGTAGGAAAATTCGTAATACCCTGTGGAGTGTAGCAGCAATAATAGCATGTTATAATTAATAGCCTACTTTAGCCTCATCTTTTCGCAAAATTTTATTTTTTTGATTGTTTTATTCTTTCTGTTATTAGAGGAGAAATACAGTTTTTTAGCACTGCCTGTTTTTATAAACATACATTGCAAACATTTTAGTGATGCGATAATTTTTGTGGGGTGTATATTAAAAGAAAAACTAAAATAATACCTAATAACTTCTCAAAATTTGTTTTAAATATTATCAGTATAATAATATAATAATACAAAAATATTAACTGAACCTAATTATAGGTCACTCGAAATATTATCTGAAAATTAATTAAGCAAAAGGCCATACAGCATACGCTGTTTTCCGTATCGAAGCTAAAGCAAATCTTACACTAAATCGTTAGTGCCTTATTATTTAATTTACTACAAAATAAAAATAATATACAGAGTTGCAAAACTAAAACTGGAGTATAACAAACTGATAACATGAACGTATAACATATATATCATACAACTTCCCTCTGACGTCAGAATCATCGACTTGTATAGCTTGATTTAACCTTCTAGAACCTTCTTGAACTGTCCGAATTTTTCTTGACAAGGAATGACATTTCCAGAAATTTCTGGACTATTATATCTTCTTCTTTTACTCGTACTATTACTTATGACGCTGTAGGGCGATGGGTGACTTCTTTTTGTATTTGTACGTTTCCTATAACAGCCGCAGGCTACTGCAGGGGGGGATGGGACGTTTCGCCGTCGCCGTTTCGCCATCGCCGTCGAGCCAGATCGCCATCGCCGTTTCGCCGGCGGCC